GAGCACAACTGATTTACATGTTGTTACAGTACAGGTTCTCCTATTTCCCGAGGACTAGAAGTTTTTAAACTTAACAAGATTATGTAATAACAAAAATGATTGATTTTCAATAAAGTTAATAATGAGTTAAAAATAAAGAAAGAAAAGAAAAAACAAAAAATGCTAATTTCCACTTGGAATATGAAAGGATTAGCATAGATAGATAGATAGATAGATAGATAGATAGATAGATATTTTGTTTAAATATTGTGCTTTTCCTGTAAGGTATCATAGGTGGGTAAAGTAAGACACAGAGGGATAAAAGTAAAATTAAAATTAGAAGGAGAGATTTGACCCCAAGCAACTGGGTCTTAAATACTAAATTATACATTTCCACTTCATGATTTAGCATCTGTTTATATCTACATTCTTCACTTTTTTTGCTGCATGAAACCCCTTGATAATCCTTTGAAGTCCACAACCCTTTCTTAGAATAGTCTTTGCAGATATCCTAAATAGAAAGGATTTCAAGTAGGATAAATTATATTGAAGAGTTCTTTCAAAGGCTGTTAAAACAATAGTATGGTAATACAATTGCTTCAAAATTGTCTATTAAGTAATGACATCTTGTGCCGTGGTCTAATAACTACAACTTAGTGACAATAAAAATATATAAAACCACATGAAAATACTTGATTTCCCTTGGTGTCAAAGGATCAAGTACAGTATTTCTAAACCAGTGTTGGTGGTGGCCTGCATTTGTATTCTTGATTGAAGGAAATGTCAAGTGTCAGATTGGGGGTAATGGAAAGAAAGGTGTGCTTTTGCTCACATGTTTTTCTTAAGCATTGAATTCTGTGTTCCTTTTGAGCAGATTCTGTGTTCTATCAAAAAGTAGAAATTTCGGATTCATTTATTCCTTACAAGTAGCAGAAAACTCTTATTAACATGATTTTCCTAACTAGATGAGTATTTACCTCCAAACATAATCACTTGATAGTTTAACTCAGAGCTGTTGAAACACAGCAAACTGTACCTGTTTAAGACATGTCACAAGGCTTGTTTTCTACATGTGACAGGCACTTCATGCACCACTCCTCTCCTTAGGGTTTACTATTGAATCTATTTAAAAGTGCTGCCTCCTCGCTCGAATGCCCTTACTTCATGAATAAGCGGAGATAAAAATTCAAACCAGTCTTCTCTAGCGCCTAGCTTGTCTTCCTTACCGCCTTCTGTAGTTGCTGAATTTTCTGTCCTTTTCTCGTACAGCCACTAGATGGCACTGATTGTTCGGCCTGCCAAAAATTCTGCCCCTCGCTTCCCACCTCAAAATTGATCTGGAATTGAGAAAGATTATCTGGCAACTTTATCTACCCACACTGGAGTTGACATCTCTTTCTGAAATGAATTAAAGGGTTTTTTTTTTCTTCTTTTTCATTCTGTTTTTATTTTATCTTTTAAAGACCATTACCTCATTTTATTTTTCCTTTGATTCTCCAGGGCCTTTTTCAAGTGCATTAGAACTTCAGCATTTCAAGATGTTTCACACCAATTAGGGCCACCTCGGCTAAAACATTCTGTGTTCTTCCAGCAAAGGCAGGGCGAGCGGGAAGCTTCGCCGCCGCTCTGGTGAGGGAACAGGAGCGTTCCCAGAGTGGCTCAGCCAGTGCGTTAAACGCCTCCCCGTCAAGGGCCCTTGGTATTCCTACTCCGTTACCCCAGGGAAATCCCATTTATGGGCTGATGCTCCAGTTGTGGGTCATGAACAGGACAAGCGCTGCAGTCAATAAAAGATGGGACCAACACATTCCTCAGTGATACAAGATTTGCGAGGAGTATTTTTAAAGGAGTAGTAAAATGTAACAGTGTTTTAAAACTGTCTCCTGAAATAAGCACATTCATTATATCAGCAACTGGAGTAACCAAGAAGCCCCGTACAGATACAGTGCTAGTAGCAGCGAGGTGCTACTGTTCTACTTCCTTGGTGGGGAACCCACTGACGTTAACATTTGTAACTTTGAGTACTAGGGACAGTATACCGTGGCATGAAGTGAATCCACGACCCTGTGTTTGTTGCTTCAATCCAGAGTAAAAGAGTCAGAGTGGATCTCATGGACCAATTGTATCTTCATTGTCTCTGCTCTGGTGGAACCGTATCTGGAAGCCTTTCTGGAGTGCGGAGGGTCTGATCCCTCATTCTAAATATTTACCCCTCTATTTCTATCCCAACCCAAACTGGCATTTAAATTCGGTATAAGGGCCAGCCTGATAGCTCAGTGGTCTAAAGCGCCTGCTTAGGCAGAGTGCAGTAGCTGGGGTTCGATCCCTGTCTTGCAGTGCCGGCCCCACCCACGGGGCATGCTGAGATGGTGATTGAGACTGGGCATGGTGGCGCACACCTGTGATCCCAGTACTTAAGAGGCTGTAAACAGGAAGATCACCATGAGTCTGATCTATGCAATGAGACCCTGAACACCCTGTATACCATGCCCAAATTTAAAAACAACAAAAAACAAAAAACCTTCTAGTGGCACAGGTTTTCCTTCTTGACAAGGAGAAAAGAAAAACAGAAATAAACTCTTCATGCTTAGGAGACCGTGTTTGATTGTTTTTGTCACTCTATTGACTCAGGGCAAAGAAATTTGGGTCCTTCTAGGGAAGCGCAGAAGTGGGAGGGGGCAAGCTGGCATTAGACAAACAGGAGGCCTACTCTGGTTAAATAAGGCTTGATCACCCACAGTTTGTCTCACTTCCTGATTTCTTTGTGGTTGTCTATCTGCTTGCTGATGAAGAAGTATGTATCTCTATGTGGTATTCAAAAAGCCTTGACTGCCATGTCCAACATTCCCATGTCTGATATTCCTAGCTGGCCTACTAAGACGCAGAACACTGACACTGGTGCAGGTGGTGGCTCCAGGGTACTCTGGCATGAATTGTTCTATGGGCTGAAAAGCAGAGTCTTCAATCCCGGAATGCATTTAGGGTTTTTATCACTGCCGCTCTTTGAAACATTCAAGAGCAGTTTCCCATCTAGAAAAAAAAAAAAAAAAAATGTAAGGGTCATCTCAGTCCCTAAAGAGGGAGTCAGAGAGGAAAAACATAATCCCTCCCATTGCTCATACATTTGTCTTCTATGCTTGTTTGTACATTTTCCCCAAAATTATTATCTTTAGGTCTGAGAATGAGAGAAACACATTCAAAGGTTTATCTGGTCCACTTCTTTTTAGATTTTGTTTTTAACTGAGCCTGCCCCCTTATTTTTTCTCTGTTGCCCTACAAATTAGCTTAGATTTACTGTTTCTTATAAGAAAAAGAGATGGAAAATGGTAATAATGGTAGAAAAAGGTAATAAAAGTATAGTCCTAAAGTTTGCAACTTGAGTTTACTTATTTTCCAACAAAAAGGTATAGGAAATGGTGTGTGTGTGTGTGTGTGTGTGTGTGCGCACGTGCGCATGTTATATATGTCACGTATCTATTACTTCATATTTTAAGAACATTTTTCTTTTAGAAGACCTGTTTTTTGGAGGTAGATTCCCTTTTCTAAGTGCTTTTGTATATGCCCACTTGTCTTTCTTTCTCTGGGGCTTTCTGTCAGTCCCACTTGCATAATTAGACCCCCAATCAATCGATATAACTTGACTCTACACAGCTTTTAACTTAACGCTCCATGATGGTTATAGTGCTCTCACTATGGTCTGCTTAAGCCAGACAGTTGGATCTGCCACTTACCAGTGTGTGCCAGGAGGTGAACTTGTGCTACATTTCAGGAGAAACAGACTGATTTGTTCAGGTGTGAGCAGGGGCTTCTCAACTGCCAGCACATTCCAGTCCAGCAAGATGTTCCAGGAAAAGAGAATTTGGGAACCAGTTGGTTCAGCTGTAGGTAGGAGAGGCTGCTTAATTACTCTCAGGTGGTCAAAGCAGGGTGTGCAAGAGCAGCCTTAGCTTCCCAGCCCCTGATGGTGCCTGCAGCAGGTAGGCAAACCCAGCCCCTGGGCCCTCGGGAAAAGTAAGCTATGGAAGGTGAGGGAAGAAGGCTCAGGCCAGGTCGAGCTCACGACAGGAGTTACTGGACAGGAGTTGTGGACAGACAGGAGAAGGAGGCACAGGCGAGGCGGAGGGGCAGAGCAAAGCTGAACCCGATTTGTCTCAGATTCCCCGAGATCTTATCAGAGTCACTCCGCGCTGCTGGACTGTCTGCATTCCTGCCTCCCTCCTGCCACTTCCTATTACTTTATCTCTCACTTGAAAAGGTTTCATTGTTCAATAATCAGCAGCATTTCTACTAATGAATCCAAGTCCAAGTTTTTGAGCTGCGAGACAAGTATGCCCTGAAATTGCCTTCTCCTTCATTTCTCTCCGCAGAAACATGATCAAGGCAGAGGGCAGTGGGGAGACACCACAGAGAAATACGTAACGCAGCAAACTGGCTTTCTCAAAACTTAGTTCATTTTCCACAAGTTCACTGAGCTACATTCAGACAAAAACTAGCTCCCTCCTGCCACACTTTTAAAGTATGGCTTCCCCTGAAATAGCATCTTTAATGGCTGAAGAAGATCATTTTAGTGCTTTAACTGCAAAGCTAGGAGCCCATATTCCCGAATTCCACAAGAGGAGACCTAACATGGTTAAACACTGTCTTTCGAGTTTATGGGTGCATAAGATGATAATAGACTCCTCCTGAAATAGACAAGCTGAAGCAACATAACACAGAGAATGTGAAAAACACACTATTGGAAACCGCAGGGGAGTAGATTTAAAAACAAACAACCAACTATCAGCAGGAGGAAAAAGTTATAGTTCATGGCCAGGGATTCTCATAGAGCTGTACCTTAAGGTCTCATAGAGATCAGAAAGAGACCCAAGTGTTAAATATGTCACTAATGACAGTCAGCCTGTCTGAGGCGGCATCTGCATGCACAAACTAGTTAGGCTCTTTGACACGTATGAAAATCATTTTAGTTCTGAGAGCAGATTAAACTCACAAGAGCCTTGTTCTCGCCATGAATTGCCAAACAACTGGCTTAACTAATTTTTTTTTACTGCTCTATAAGCATAGGATAAATAATCATATGTGTATTCGGAACACAAAGGGAAAAGCAATAATGCCTGAAGAATGTGAATGAGGCCAAGCCAAAGCCCGAGGCTCTGTGTTTGAGAATACAGTGAGTACTAGACAGGAAACATGATCAATGTCACTCACCATCACAGAGCAGTTGGTTTTAGTCAAGATACCAAATGCTAATTTTTTTTACCTTCCTCATCCTTCCAATGAATTGTGAGTACTTGTACTTTTCATGGGTCTTCACTGACACATTTTAAAGCATTCTGAATTTTAAAGAAATGGAGGAAATTTTATAAGCACAAGATTTCATCAAGCTCTTTTTAAACTTGATTCAGGTTTCAATGAAACCTATCTTATAACGTGCAGTTCCACAAAAGGGAGGGAGTGCATTTAGTCTACTTAAAAGACAAAAAAGCACAAAAGTCAATTACAAATAATAAGAAAATATAAATGAAATTTTAAAGCAAGATATTTCACTAATTTGAAAAATAATGAAATTCAGTCTTACACAAAGTAGAGTGTAAATGACATTCTCAGACTCTATCGGAGCACTGTAATTAGCATCAGTCATGGTAGAAATGGATATTTAACAATTTTTAAGCTCCTAGGAAAATAACCTAAAGGATAAAAGAAGCTTTAAGTACAAAGATGTTCAGCAAACAGTACTGTACAGTAATAGAAAAATTGAAGGCAATTTTAATAGCTTCTAACAGTGTTACTGAGAAAATTATAGTACAAATTCAGAATCCTAATTGAATAGTAAAAGTCATGCTTATTTTCTAAGAAGCATTGGAGAAAATACAATATAATGTGATCTTAAAAGCCTAGTGCAATTTATAGAATAAAGAACGATGTGTATAGCATTACCTTGGACACATTTAAAGATTAATACAAAGAAAGATAAAAGTAGCTTATAGAAAAATAACGATAGTTGCTATGTTACATTCCTGGGATGAAATATTTTTTTGTGTTCAATATGATCGATTTACTTCGCATTTTTTGGAGCATTTACTTTGTAAGTTAGAGTACTTGTGTTCCATGCATAAGGCTCTGGGTTCAATCCTCAGCATTAATAATAATGATAACAACAACAATAACAATAACAATTCCCAAATCAAAGACAAAAAGAGCAAAAAAAAATTCTGAAAATGAGAAACAGGACAGAAGTCACTGTCTTAGCTGAACAAGACCAACACAAGAACCAACATGCCCTCGTGGACATCCCACTGCGAAGTCAGACCTAACCTCGAGATTGTCAGTTTGTTCAAGTCAAGCCACTGATCAATCTGGGCCGTAGCATCCAGAGCTGGTTTTAGTTACTCAACTTGAAAACCACCTCCCGGTTGTAGGGAAATGAGAAAGGGGGAGCTCAGGCTTTGAAGAAAGACTTGAAAAGTTAAATATGTTTCGTCTGGAGGGAAAGATTGGGAGGTGATCTCATTTCAGTGTTTGGGTACCTGCAGCAGATAGCCCAGGCCCGAGGATGTGACCTGTCCGAGCCACTCAGAAGCAATAGGAAACTGCAGAAGGAGAAGGTTACATTAGAAAGATTTCCTCTCAAAGATAATTATATGTTTATTCCAGTTTTACTCTGAGTGACAGAATTACAGTCCCCTCCCCATCTGTAATCCAGGAAAATAATGCTTGCCACATACGTTTTAATGGATATAACATCTGTAAAATACTTTGAGCTCTTCAGATGAAAGATGCCATGTGAGTGCAAAGAATTATTGTTATTATTTTTGTCTCCTGCTTTCCGTATTGGTATGAGTTTCCTGGTGACTTTTATGGGACTCCTCCAGCCAGCCGGCTGCTCTGTAAAGTGTCGTCGTCCCAGTGATATTTTCAGTCCTTCACATGGTTCTGATTCTACCCAGGACAAGGGCAGCTGAAAGGGAATTGTTTGTTCTGAAGGAAATAAAAGAAGTCAGAGCATTTGTCCAGAGCTTAGGAATCAAGGTTTACCTAAAACTACTCCAAGGCCTAGGTTTGAGCATGCTCATTGGGTCTTCCCTGCTTCCTGTGAATGCAGATGGTGGGGCTTTGGACATGAGTCCTGTGATTTATCTCTAACGGGTTTCCATTCAGATGCAACTAGAATTTCCGAAATGTCCACGCCAAATACATCTGGCACTATTTTGCTGAACCTTAACGCACATTATCTTACTGGTTTTTAGTAACTCTTTTCCTTATTAAGTGACAACACATCCTTATTATAATTTTTTTTGGCAGGAGGGAGTACAGGAGAGTTAAGAAAAGCTTTAAAAAAAAATCCGACAATCCCAACATCAGAAACAGTGACTGCTGGTACACTGGTATACTTGTCTTAGTTGTTTAGTTTGTTATCAGTGAGTATGTGTGTGTCTACACATGTGTCCTTTTACTGCCTCCATCTGATTTTGTAAGTGTTTTCCCAGATTTCTAAAGTTTCTTCACCAACTCAGACAATCACCATTGTATAGGTGATCCAGGGGGAGGGCAAGAGTTTTCATGCTTTAGCTCACCTATTTTTCATAAAATCTACAGTTCAAATAAGTAAAACTACCAATGAGTTATCTACATAACACATTTATTTGGATCTTTTGCCTTCTATTTGGTTCTTAAAAATCACCCTGTGAGCCAGGCAGAGCAGAGAGCTATCATTGTATAGAAACAGAAGCAAACCCAGGGAGGTAGCCGGCTCGCCGGGTCTTCGCATCTGGGAAAGGGGCCTCCTTCTGTCTTCCCTTTGCCACCCACCTGGCCTCAGCGAATGCCCTGAACACTGAATGATCAGTTTCTCCAGCATGTGTCAGGGCTGGTCTCCCTTATTCTGCACCCACAGAGAGAAGAAACAAAGATCCCTCAAACA